GAACGGCTCTCGTGCATCTGCCGATCGCCGTCTCTCCCCTCTCCGCGCCCCTCCCGCATCTCCCTCCGCACTCCTCTCTCCCCCCCGAACCCCCCCTCTCTTGCCCCCTCTCCCCTCCCCTTTCAGACGGCCCGCCCCCTCCTTCACCCCGGCGGCGGCTCTCGGGCGCTGCCCGCCGACGAGGGCCCCTATCGCAGCACCGACGCCGCCCTCCGCCTCTCGCTGCTGCGCGGCGCCCTCAGCCACTTTGGAGAGCAAGCGCGCGACGAGCTTCGAGCCCGCGTCGCGGCATCGGCCGGCGCGGCGCGCCGTGGCGGTGAGCCAGGGATCGAGTTTGAGGCCGCCGCCGCATTGCGCCTCGAGCGCGGCCTCGACGCCCCGACGGCGCAGCCACCGCCGCAGCGCGTCACCCTCGCCGGCGGCGACGACGCGCCCTTCTGGCCGCTGCTCTACCTCTGCTTGCGCTGCGCCGATTACGCCGCTGCGGCGCGCGTGTCCGCCGCGGCGGCGGCCGAGGGCGCCGTTCCGCCGCGGCTCTCTGCGCTGCTCGCCGCGGCCGCGGCGGACGGCTCGGCGACGGCCGGCGCCGGTGTGTCCGGCGGCGGCATGTCGCGGCTCGTCCTCGCCGCCCAAGAAGAGTACTGGCGCGGCGCGGCGCAGATGGAGCCGCATGCGCGGCTCGTCTACGCGTCCGTCGCGGCGCCCGACGCGGCGATCTCTGCTCGTGAGATTGCGCCCGAGCGGGAGCGGACGGTCGAGGACTGGCTGTGGCACAAGCTCTCCGCGGCGCACGCCCTCCTCGCTGCCAGCCTGCCGCCTCCCGCGTCCGCGGGCGGCCACCCGCCGGCAGGCGGTGACGGCTCGCGCTCCCTAGAAGCCGCATTCTTGTACTCCACCTCGCGCTCGGGGGGGGGGGGGGGGGGGGGAGACGCATTCCGCTTCACTCGACCGTATTCCACTCTATTCACTGCCTTTCGCAGCCCGTGTAGGGAGGCGGGCGTACTCACCCCGTAGACTGCCCATATCTCCCCATATCTCCCCATATCTCCCCATATCTCCCGCCCCGAGGCTGGCGGACTCACCCCGTAGGCTGCCCATATCTCCCCATATCTCCCCATATCTCCCCATATCTCCCACCCCGAGGTTGGCGCACTCACGACGCAGGCGCACCGTTGCTACCACACCACCCACGGGACTGAACCCACACTGGGTTCGATCCTCTGGAGGTATGGTACTCACGACGTAGGCTCGCAAGACGCGCTCGGCTCGCTGCAGCGTCTGGTGTACGGATCGTACGGCGAGACCTACTTCAACGCCGGGGGCGGCTCGCCGCTGCTGTACGCGGGCGTCCTCCTCGCCACGCAGCAGTTCGAGCGGGCGGTGGCGGTGCTCGCCGCCGTGCCGCACTTGCGCCAAGAGGCGGTGCATTTCGGACTCGCGCTGCAGCACGAGGGGTTGCTCGCGGTGGCGCAGCAGAAGCTCGCCGACAGCTCCCTCCTCGTTGGGACATCACCCTCGCCCTCCCTCGCCTTGCCGCCCCTCGTCGCACAGCACGTGGGCGAATGGGCCTCCGAGGGCGTCGACGCTTCGCGCGCTGCTATTGGGTGTGTGCGCACGCCCGTCTCCTCTCCTCTCCCCTCCTCCTCTCCTCTCCCCTCCTCCTCTCCCCTCCTCCTCTCCCCTCCTCCTCTCCTCTCCTCCTCTCCCTTGCCACGCGCCCGCCCGCTACCGCTCATGCTTTCGAGACACTTCCGAGACACTTCCGAGACACCTCCCAGACACGTCCGCTGCGGCTCCTGCCCGACGCTTCCGGCCGCCTCCCGAGTCCCGCCGCCCCCTCGCCGCCTCGCCGCCATCTCGCCGCCGAGGCCGCCTCGCCGAGGGAAGGCATCGCCCCTGCCTTCCCTGCCGCTGGCGCCTGCTGCTCACCCGCGCCGAGTCCGCCGCTCACCCTTGGCGGCCGCCACCTGCGACCAACAGGTACCTGTGGCTCCTCCGTGGGCCTGCGGCGCAACGGCAGGAGCTGTGCATCCAGCTCCTCCTCGGCTGTGGCAAGCCCGAGGCGCTGCTGCCGCGCAGCGGCCTCTCGCACATCGCAGAGGCCGACTACCGAGAGCTGCTGCGCGCGGTGCCCCCGCCACTGGACGACGGCCCCCTCGCCACCTCGAATGGCTCTCACTACTTGGCTGGAGCTAGGTCTCGTCGCGGCTGGCCGGCAAAGGACGCGCTTCGCAGGCGGCTCGGCTGCTCTACGAGGCGCGCGCGAGTAGAGAGAGCTGGGGAGGGCTGAGATGCGACGAAGAATGGAGTCGTGGTCTCACCAGGCCCGCCCAACGGCTGGGCGTTTGGGTTACATGCTGGCCTCTCATCGACCCCGGCCTTCCCGCCCGCACCACGTCTCTCAGGCGCGAGAGCACCGGCAGCTGTCCGCCCTCCTCGTTGCAGAGCTTTCCGCAAACATCGCCGCGGCCGCGCGCGGCACGAACCCAGCGGCGGGGGACGCGGCGGAGCGCGCGGCGCGACTCTGCATTGGCGCTGCCGAGGAAGCGGACAGGCCGTCCCGACGCTCCTGCTGTGAACAGGCGCGGCTCTGCGCCGACGCTGCCGCCTTTGCCCGGGAGTGGCGCGAATCGCACCCGCAGGAGGCGTCGGCGCACGGGGCGCCCCTCTTCGCCCTCCTCTCAATCGCGCAGCTGCTCGAGGGTGTTTCCCTGTGGCCGGCCGTCGCCACGGTAACGAGCCGCTGCTCAGGCCTCCCGCTGGGTGTAGGCGCGGAGGCGTGGCGGGCTGCATCCAAGGGACTACCCGCCGCCGGCCCACGCGGGGCCACCGATGCGATCGCGATGCAGCCGCTCTCTGCGCTGCTCGTCCGCGTGGAGGCGCTGAGCGAGGCGGGTTTGCTGCCCGCTTCGCTCGCCGAGGTTGAAGCGGCGCAGGCCGAGTACCGCTTGCAGCCTCCCGAGGTCCGGCGTGCGTTCCCTCAGCTCGTTGAGACGTGCGTCGAGCTTCTCCATGCTCAGTACGTCGCGTTGCGCATTGCGCGGTGCGCGCCGATGCCAGCCGCCGCCGGCGCCCGCGCCGGCACGGGCTTCGCGGCGATCCGCGCGCAGGCCGAGGCGCTCGTCGCTTTTGGAGGCACCATGGACGTCTCCGCGAGCAGCGGGCAGCGGATCGCGCGCTGGCTCGCGGAGATGAGCTAGGTTGACGAACGAGCACGCGGCGGGGAGGGGGGGGGGGGGGGGGGCTTTTTCCGCGGGAAGGGGTCGGAGAGGACCACAACGCACAAGCGCGGTCGGTGGCCGCAGACGGAGCTACAGGTGTCGTACAAGAGCGTAATACTAATACAAGCAGCCATGTTTGACTTAAAAAGTAATATATCTTTACTTCCAACACCCCGCGGACGTTCCCAGGGTGCGATGGGAAGGTTCGACGCACCCGCCACCCCCGGACTGGGCAGAGAGATCCCCCAGGGCATCTGGCCTGGGCTGTCCACCCCGCCGCGCCGCCCCCACTTGCCCTGACTGCACACAGGATAGCGTGCCCCGACGAACACGGCGACACATAGCGGGGGACACTGCGCCGGGGGGTATGCCTATAACTTTGGTGCTTTGTGCCGTGTGGGTGTCGCGTTCCCCAGGTAGAGCCACGCGTAAAGCCGTACTGTGTGGCTGAAGCCCTCGTGCCGCTGGCTTGCCCCTTCCAGCGGCTGGCCCCTCGAGACTGCTGGTGTGCTTGGCGGGAGGAGGGGAGAGGGAGCCATGCCATGTTTGACTTAAGATATCCGCAAAAATTCAAGATACCAACGGCAACGCGCAACTCGAGGCGCGGGCCCGCGCGCGCTGTGGAGAAACACGACAAGCGTCAAACGCGGTGCGTCCACACCCGTCGGCTATTGCAAGAGCTCTAATCTATCAGGCATGGCAGCGCTCAAATTAGCAAAGACGGCGTGCTCGAAGGCGAACTTGTGAGTGTACCCGTAGCGCAAGTCGCGCATCGGCGGGGTAACCGTCGCCTGCACGCTCGAATCGAAGTAGTGGAAATCGCCGTCCTCGAGGGAGAAGCCGTACAAGCGCACCTTGCGACAAACACCCAGCGCGAGGCGGGTGACGTGCCAACCGGAAGAGGGGCGAGCGCGGGACGCGCGCGGCGACTCGAGACGGACGAGGTGGGCGTAGTAGGCCTCCCAAGAGGAGCGCAACCATTCGAGGTCCAGGAAGTACGCATCGAGCCCCGGGTTCCTGGCAACCACCTCGGCGTGGCCGTCGGCCCACACGAGATACTCGTCGAACCCGGAGTAGCGCTGCTGCGGCGCGTCGCGGACAGCCCACGGCTCCGCGACCATCCCATGGATGAGTTTGGTGTGCGTGCGCGGCAGAATCGAAAGGCCGCGCACGTGCGGGAAGGAATTCACAAAATCGTAAGTCGTGCGGCTGCCGACGTGCCGCTCGTAGCCGGCCGTTGGCGCGCGGTTGATGCGGAAGACGCACTCGTTGGCGTCAATGTGCTCCCCGTACTCGCGCCTATATTTGGTGGGTGGGTGGGCTCAAACGCTGGTTCCTCGGCCGCTTTCGCGCGGCGCGAGCGCCTGCGCAAGATGCCGGCGCTTGAGACGACGGCGCAGCTGTCGCAGCCGAGCGGCGGCGAGACGTCGGGTAGGGTGGCCACGAGACGAGCGAGCTCGGCAGGCGGCCTCGCGAGCGCCTTGTAGGCAAGGGGGGGAGAAGCGGCGGGGGCCTCAGCAGGGCGGCAGGGCTGTGGTGGGGCTGTGGTGGGGGTGCGTCCCGCCCTCGCATGCCTGGTGGTAGGAGGGCTCGACACAAGGTGGCGCATCCGGCGGGCTGCCGCCCGCACCCGCCTCGCCGCCCACCTCGCCGCCCGTGCCCGCCTCACCGCCCGCCTCGCCGCCGCCTCCTGCCTCGTCCGCCCATCCCACGCCGGCGGCGAGGAGTTTTGCGCGGGTCAGCAGCGGCGAGGGCGCTCCGTGCGAGGAGCAGTCGTGGCCGTGCCACCCAAACTCGCACTCGCAATGCCCGTGCACACACCTCCCCCGCCCGCTGCAGCTGCCTTGGCACTCCGCACCCGCTGCAAGCCTCCTGTCGCAGCGCAAGCCGACGTAGCGTTCGGTGGCGCTCGCGTCGCACTCACACCACTCCATCCCGTGCCAAGCGACACACGAGCCACGCCCCGAGCAGCGAGGCGCGGCTCCGTCCGGGGGACTGCAGGTGGACTCGCACAGCGGCAGGCTCAACGATGGCTGGCTCGTCGCGTCGGCGGCGGCAGAGGCGGCAGAGGCCGTGGCGCCAGAGGCGGAGGCGGCGGTGGACGGCATCCCGCCGCGTGGTGGCTCGGTCCGCCGCTCGCACGCGCCGCACGAACGAGCACAGCGCTCGCTCATGAAAGGCTCGTTCCGCGCGCACTGGCCGTAGGAAGCCCACAGGGTGCACGCTTCCTCGGCGTCGCCGCAAGAGCTTTTCGGCGCACGGGCGGCGGTGGCCCGCGCCGAGACCTCGCCAGCTGCCATACTCTCAGCAGCAGCCTGGCCAAGGCGGCACTCTGCGAGCACAGCGAGCAGCTGAGCGTGCCTTGTGCAGTACACATCGCCGCGCTCGTATGTCATTGTGTCGGGTGAGAGGCCAGCAAGCGCATAGCACCTCCATGCTGGAGGCCCGCGCTGGGCATTCGAGTCGTACCGCGCATACAGCGTGTGCGTGGCAGCGTGCGGGCAATTATCTCGGCACCACGCGTCGAGGGTCGCGACGCAGCGCGGCGGAATTTGCTGCACCGACATCGTCAAAGCGAACGCCAAGTCGGTAGCGGGTCGTGCGTTGCCAACATCTCATACCGCACCGCCGAGGTCACAAGTGCCAATGGTGAATTGGAATGGTGTTCTCGAGGTTCTCGAGGTGGATATCCTTTGGCCGCGTTGGGATGGTGTGAAAGTGAAGTCGGTACCTCGTCGTACATCTGCTTCATCATGTCATCAGGCCGGCGGAGGGGTCCTCTTGAGTGGCGCCGCCGGTGGTCCGCTTGGCCACGAGGTCCATCCAGTGGTCGGCCCCGTACTGGCCCTTTGACCTTGCGCAGCACGACCGACCGTGATCGTGTTCTTGCTTGCCCACCTTGACCCTGCTTCCCGCCGGGTCGATCTCCTTGCTGTCGAGACCGTCCTTGCGCAGGCGCCATTTCTTGCCCTTGTAACCGAGCACGCGCCAAACGACCGCTTGCCAAAGTCGCACTGCACGCTCTCCTTGGCCTCGCCGATAATGGGATATGCCCTCGAACCCGGAGAGCAGGTACACCCGGCCGGAGAGCAGGTGCACGTACACGTTCGCCGGGTCCTTGCCGTAGTCGTCCTGGTCCCACGCAAACCCCCAGGGCTAGGGCTCTCTTGCCCGCAACCCGATAACCGGTCATCTGGCCCGCTGGCGGTGCGCTTCTTAGCTCCCCGGCCCTGGATGTGAGGTTACCAAAACTGCACTCAAAAAGTGCTATAAGTGCTCTCTCTCAAAACAGACAGAGAACCTCCTGCATCGGCGCGACAATAAGATCGGGAGAGAGATTTTAGGAAACTAAGATCGGCGCGACAAATAACTTGCGCAGGCGGTTAGTGGTGCACTAACCCCGAGAAACCCTTCGGGGCACTCCTCATCGCAAACCCTGTCAGTCAGCAGTCCACCGTTGAAGAGCTACATAGAACATACAGATTACAGTCAAATACACTAAAATAAGAATTTACTGTGGCTTGGTGCCTGCGCGCGCGAGTCCCGACTCCCGTGCCCAGTGGCCAGTGCGACAAACGCCGCTTGCTCCTCGTCTCTTTCCTTCTTAATCATAGTCGCGGTTTGTTCAAAAGACCAGCCTGGCGGGGTGAACATTCTTGTAGACGGCTAGGATTGTGAGCAGCCTCAATCCTAGAAGTCGAGGATTGTGAGCATCACTCCTCGCAATCGTAGGAGCAGGCGGACATCGCTTCCAGGGAGGGGGGCGCCCTTCTACTCACACCACATGCTACGGGGGGGGTCCGACCCCCCCCAGAGGCTTCACCACATGCTAGGGGGGGGGTCCCGACCCCCCCAGCACCTTCACCACATGCTAGGGGGGGGTCATGGCCGAGGACCCCCCCAGAGACTCGTGGTCAGACCCTCTCTCCGGGCCCTTGATTTTGCACCTCATTTCGGAGCCTTTTTCGAAGAAAATCATCCTGTGGAGCTACATGAGTCTTGAGAGCCTGGTCAGATTCTCCAAGATATTGGACTTTCAGCCACGATTTCACAACTTTGGGGGCAAAATCGGCTCTTTGGCGGCTATCCTAGCCCACGAACTCTGGGGGGTGCCCACCACATGCTAGGGGGGGGGGTCCGACCCCCCCCAGAGGCTTCACCACATGCTAGGGGGGGGTCCCGGCCCCCCCAGCGCCTTCACCACATGCTAGGGGGGGGGTGGGGCGTGAGTAGAAGGGCGCCCCCCTCCCTGGAAGCGATGTCCGCCTGCTCTAGCATCTCTGTGCGATTGTGAGCGCCAACGCTCGCAATCCTACATCTTCTAGGACTAAAGAGCAGCTCCGCTCCCAACGTGACTGGGTGACGCCTACGACTACTACTAGCGCTCACTTCCGAGCAAAGTCTAAGGTTGCGAGCAGCACTGGCCACTGCTCAGATTCGTAGAAACATGTTGGTTGTGAGCAGGAGCGCTCGCAGTCCTACATCTTGTAGGACTATGTGAGCGGCTGCGCTCACAATAGTACCAAAGATCCAAGGATTGCTAGTACCATTCAAAATTCTTTTTTCCGACTGCGTACCTGTGCTAGTGCCAGCGCGCGCGTGCCCAATGTCTCCGTTACATTCTTTTTGTGTTAGTGCCAGTGCGCGCCAGTCCCGTGCCTAGTGTCGTGCGAGGGAGTTTGGTGGTAAAATTCTTTTGTAAGTGCCAGTGCGCGCCAGTCCCGTGCCTAGTGTCGTGCGAGGGAGTTTGGTGGTAAAATTCTTTTGTAAGTGCCAGTGCGCGCCAGTCCCGTGCCTAGTGTCGTGCGAGGGAGTTGCGTTGTAAATTTCTTTTGTAAAAAATGTCCGGCTCAGTTTGCCGGGACGACCGACAACCATGAACACCGACCTGACAATCGTGATCACGGGCTTGCGGAGCACGGTGGGAGCCCTCCGCGTTCTCCTCTTTGACGACGAGGCCCAGTGGCTGAAGGACGATGGCGCATGCTACCACGAGAAGCACGACATCACAGGCGCCCAAATCACGGTCGTGATCAGTGATCTGCCCACGAAGCGCGATGGTAAAGCGATCGAGTATGCTGTGTTCGCCGTGCACGACCTGAAGAACAAAGGTAAATTGGATACCAACTTCTTCGGGATGCCTCGCGACGGCATGGTCTGCAGCAATGGCGCCAAAGGTGGCCCCGGCGGCGGGCCCAAGTTCCGAGCCGCCAAGCTAGACCTGTCCAGTATCGCCGGCACGATTGACATGCCCATGTGGTACATGTTTTCACCAACGACCGCGGAGAAGTCTAGCATGACGGTCGCATGATGGCGTGTGATCAACGGCAAACATAGTACATACACGGGACAGTGTCCGACACATCGGAGCCGTACACCTTTGCCACGCGCCAGGAGAAGCACTTGTGTACTGGTGCACATCACACAGCTACGTAGCGTACACGTTACAGCAAGGGTACTGAGATGCAGTCGATCTCTGCTAGGCGTCCGCGCGGTCTGTGCAGCGTTGACCCACACGCACACCGGTTGGGTTGAGCCGATGTGAGGCAATCCATGAGCCGCCGTGTCATGCGAGCCGATGAGGCACAATGCATGAGCCGCATGACGCCGTGTTGGCGCAGGCGATAGCTCAAAAAAACAAATCGCCGGTGTGAGCGTCGATGCCCCCGCCCCCCCCCCCCCATTGGGGCCGCAGCAGCGCTGACCCGCCGCCAGTAGCAGTTCCACCCACCTCACCACGCACCCACCCACCACTACCAGCAGCAGCAGCACCACGACACCCGTGCCCGAGACCCCGCCCCGCCACACTCGCCTCGTCCTCCCGCCTCATCCTGCCTCGACGCGCAGGTGGCCTGTCGGCCACAGGTCGAGCCGCTGCAGCGTGAGGCCGCACTCCGTCGCCAAGTCGAGCCGCACCGCCGGTCGGAGCGTCACGTTCGACAGCCCGATCGGCCGGCCGAGCGGCACGCCCGGCAGCGAGCGCGCGAAGTTGACGACGTCCTCGAGAACCTCGCTGCTGTCGAAGCGGCGCCAGTGCTGCGCCTCCCCCACGTGCACGCAGATGAGCGCGCTGCCCGCCTGCCCTTCGGGCGGCTCGTCGGGCACCTTTTGCAGCCACGCCTGCCTCCTCGCCGCCTCCTCGGCAGCATACTCGGAGCTGGAGAGCTGAAGCGCCTCGCGCAGCTGCAGCGCCTCCTTGGAGCCGCGGTACGCCAGCGACTCCTGCGCCGCCTGCAGCGCCGCCTTGCCCACCCACAGCAGTGCCGTGTCCCGCCGCTGCAGCACGAGGTGGCCGTGCATCGGCTCAAACCCGACTGCGTACAGAAAGTCGACCCCGCCGGGGACCGAGCCGACGCGCTCCCGGAAGGCCTTGTTTGTGAGCGACACCTTGCGGCAGCGCTCGTCCTCCGGGTTCGCGATTGCCCGCTCGAGCGACGCAATCAGCGCGTCCACGCACCTCGCACTTCCCGCGAGCCGCGAAGCGCACGCCTGAACTCTTTGCTCCGCTGTCGACGCCTGGGGCGCCGCGAATCTCGCAATGGCGGCAGCGGCCGCAGCTGCGCCGCCGCCGCCAGACGGCCGGCTCCCGGACGTCTCGCTGCTCGCGCTGCTTGCGGTTTGCGCGGCCGCCGCCGCGGCGGCGGAGGCGGCGCATCCGCCGCGGCCGCCGCTCGCGCTGCTTGCAGTCTGCGCGCGACGCTCGGCCGCGGCCGCCGCGGCGGAGGCGGCGCGTCCACCGCGGCAAGCGGTGTTTGCGCTTGCAGCCGCAAGCTCCGCCTGTCGCGCCTCGGCGCGCCGCTTCGACTCGCCGGCAGCTTCACGGCGCGAGGCCGCGAGCGCCTCCTGCAGCGCACGGTCCCCCTCCGCGCGTTCGGTGGTCGCGGACGGCGGCGGGCGGGCTGGAGGTGCGCCGACCTGCTCCGTCGCCTGCGCATTCTCGAGAAGAAAGTTGACGGCACGCTGGACGTTGCCGGAGGACATCTGGAGCGCTACGGCCGCCTGCTCGTCGGTAAATCCCAGATCCGTGAGCGCGCTCAGCGAATGCGAGTCCATGTCTGCTATAGAAGAAGGATGCGTTGGGCCCCCGGCGTCAAGAAGGAGGACCCACGCGCCGCGGCATGTGGTATTTTTTTCTTTTTGCGACAGCCTCGGCACAACTTCTTTCGTAAAAATGTCTCCCCAAGGACCTCTGGTTTCCCCAGCTGGTTCGACGTTCGTGAACTGGTTCGGTGGACTTGCGGTTCGTTCGGTTTCGGAGTTCGCTCTGGACGCATCCCCTTGGTTCGCTGGATCGCTGCAACGGTTCGGTCGCCCTTGGGTGCCCGACCGAACCCTCGAACTAGTTCGTGAACTCGAGCCTTTTCTTCCCCCCCCCCCCCCCCCCCCCCGACCCGCTTCACACCCGCAGGCCGAGGTGCGAGGATACCAACCAGGGAAGTTCGTCTGAACTGCGAACGAACCGCGAACGAACCGCAATATTTATTTTTTGGCTCCTGCAGGCCTGTATAGTCCCTGGTTGCCTGCTAGAGGCCTAGTACGCCTGGACGCCTCGGGGAGCCCCACCCCATTCTACTCGCCAGTCAGCACGCACGGCGCCCAGGCACCACAGGGGCGGCCCTGCTCACAGCGCAGTCACAGCGCCTTCATGGAGTACATGCGCAAAAACCACGCCAAGTACGGCAGCCCCGCGAGCGCATGGGCGGCCGGCGCGAGCGGAGAACGGCGGCCGAGATCGCGCTGATTTGGCAGGAAAAGACGTGGGTCGTGGCGCTCTGGGGGGTGTCAAGTATGTTACATCATACACAGCTCTCATCTCGTTGTCGTTCAACAATGGCAGAGACGTGGGCTGACAGCGCTGCCTTCGGGGGCCCCGTGCCGGAATGAGCCGGCCACAGGCCGTGGCCCAGAGCGCTGACGCTCCGAGCCACCGGCACCGCTGCACGCACGCTAGACTGCCACAATCAGATACTCCTCCTCATCCGAGTACCCGCCCATCCTCACGCACGATTAGTGTTCACGCACGGATCACAGCTCTCATCTCGTTTTCTTTTTTCCTAAGTTCGAACGGAGTTCACGAAAACGTTCGTTCGTTTTCGCAGTTCGCGCCTTCGGCCACACAGCCGGCGCGGTCCGTTCAGTTTGAGGTTCGGGCTGGGCCCCGCCAGCTGCGTTCGTTCGAGTTCGGAGTTCACGAAATCCGCGCGAACTCGAAAGGCTGGGTTTCCCTGGAAATTTCCGGAAACGAGAAATGCTGGGGGCCCTCTCGTTTCCAGCTGGGTTGCCGGGCATGCCCGCTCGCGATCGAGGTAGGTTGCTTGCCGGAGAGAGAGAGACGGACGGGAACTCGGCACTGGGCAATGTCTACTCATTGGGTAGTTAGACGCATGCACACACACCCTCAATCCTTCTTGGGACAACAACAACAACAACAACATGCACATGCACATGCACATGCACATGTGCATGTTCTTTGTCTGTGAACCTCTCATAGACCAGCGCATAGCGCCATAGGGCGTATTTTCTTCTCATAACAAGGCTGTGAATACTCGCTGTTGCTCGAATACTCGAGTTCAGTTCGAATCCTTTTACGAAAGGTCGTAACGCTTACCAATTCTTCCTCGCTTCCCCCTCAAAGGCGCTCGTTCCTCCGTGCCGCAGGTTGGCCAACCTCTTCACTCCAGAGCACTTCGCCGCCCCGCGCGTGGCAGGTGGGACGTGGAGCCGCCCTCTGTTTCTGGCACCCGATGACGACAACCGGCTTCGCCGCCGCCAACTGTGGTGCATCTGCGGCAATCCTGATCGCACCCAAAGGTTTCTGCCTTCCGTCAAGGAGGCCTTGCCACCCGGACAGCTTAATGGCAGGGGATCTACTGACCTTCTTGATCTGCATCGAAAACAATTCCTTTCTTTTCGATGCGGACTCAACCGCCGAGGTGAATGCCACGCTGAGCTCAGGTGCCTTTGTGGACGTGCATGCAACAAACCCACAGTACCCTTCCTCTTCTCCTGCTAACTTGCTCGAATCTCTCGAGTTTGTACCCTCCGCACCATGGTCTGAATCTGTGAGGTGGGAGCCAAGTGAGTGCGGCGTAGGCGTCTGCGGTGCACTGCATTTGCTCGCCGATGTGCCGATGACGGCCATCCGACCGGCTTGCCTTGGAGCGGTGACAGCCACAGTGCGCTATCACCGCTTCACGACTATTGCACACGAGGTGATCCATGTCCGCACAAGAGGTGCCGCTATCGCGACGACAGATCGGCGGTGCAGCAATGTCGCAAAAACGGGTGCCTCGGGATCTGTGCACGTTGGATTTGCTCCGCAACTCGTGCCAGGTCCGCCCCAGCCGCCACCCTCGCAATTTCTGCCTCCATTCCCACCCCTCGACCTACCTTACCTTGGGATCTCGCCGTTGCCGCTACCACTGCCAACGTCCCTGCCAACGTCCCTGCCAACGTCCCTGCCAACGTCCATGCCAACGTCCCTGCCAACGTCCCTGCCAACGTCCCTGCCAACGTCCCTGCCAACGTCCTTGCCTCCATCCCTGTCCCCGTTGCCGCCGCCCTCGCCATCGCTACCCTCTCCGCCGCCGCCCTCGACGCCGCCGCCCTCGCCGCCGCCACCCTCGCCGCCGCCGCCGTCGCCACCGCCACCTTCGTCGCCACCGCCGATACCGTCGCCGCTGCTACTACTGAGCCAAACTGGCCCCCCACCCTCGCCGCCCTCGCCCTCGCCACCATCTCCGCCGCCGCCCTCACCGCCACCACCCTCGCCGCCGCCGCCCTCGCCCCCGCCGCCCTCGCCCCCGCCGCCCTCGCCCCCGCCGCCCACGTCGCTGCCGACTGCATTGCCGCCGACCCGGTCTCATCTTCCACAGCGGCCGCCGCCGCGACCACAGACCTCGCCGCTTAGATCCTCGCCTCCGCCGCCGCCGCCTTTGTTGCCCCCTCACCTTTGCAAGGTTGACTCACTTCTCTTCTCTGCAAGCGAATCACCTCTTGCTGGCCGCACAATCTCGCTCTCCGAAAACATTGGGCAACGCATGAAGGGCTTCACCTTCGCCGCCGAGTTGTCTGTTTCGGAGCCCGCGGCGTTGAGTGAAGAAACAACCCCGGCCAGCTTTTTGTTCTTTGCCACGGACGTCGCCACGTCGGGCGACATTGTGTTTGCGACGATTTCAAGCGCGGGGCTGAGCTTCGCTACGGTGAACACGCTAAGCCAGGCGGCATCTTCTCAGCCAATCAGGTTCACCATCGACAATACTTCCCACTTCGCAATCACTGTCAGCCCTTCCGGTGACGTTTCTTTCTACAAAGACGGTTTGACACTGCCGCGCAAGGACGCATCAGTAGTACAAGTTCACAATCTGGAGAGGGTAGTACGGATCGGGGGCGGGTCGTTTGCCGGCTCGATGAGCAACATCCGGATGTACAACTCTGAGCTCTCCGCGGAGCAGCTTCATGGGCTGACATCGGGTCTGACACAAAGCACTGGCTTGATGCCCATTTTTGACGGGGTTGTCCGAGGCTGCGAACCGCCGTTCTCTCCCTCCTCACCGTCTCCGCCACCGCCCTCGTCTCCGCCGCCCTCGCCGCCGCCGCCCTCGCCGCCGCCGCCCTCGCCGCCGCCACCCTCGCCGCCGCCACCCTCGCCACCGCAGCCGTCGTTGCCACCGCCACCGCCGCCGTCGTCGCCACCGCCCTCGCCGCCGCCGCCCTCGCCGCCACCGCCCTCGCCGCCGCCGCCCTCGCCGCCGCCGCCGTCGTTGCCACCGCCACCGCCGCCCTCGCCGCCACCGCCCTCGCCGCCGCCACCTTCGCCGCCGCCGCCCTCGCCGCCGCCGCCCTCGCCGCCGCCGCCGTCGCCGCCGCCACCCTCTCCGCCGCCGCCGCCTTCGCCACCGCCACCTTCGCCACCGCCACCTTCGCCACCGCCACCTTCGCCGCCGCCGCCCTCGCCGCCGCCGCCCTTGCCACCGCCGCCCTCGCCGCCACCGCCCTCGCCGCCGCCACCTTCGCCGCCGCCGCCCTCGCCGCCGCCGCAACCCTCTCCGCCGCCGCCACCTTCGCCACCGCCACCTTCGCCACCGCCACCTTCGCCGCCGCCGCCCTCGCCGCCGCCGCCCTTACCGCCACCACCCTCGCCGCCGCCACCCTCGCCGCCGCCGCCGCCCTCGCCGCCGCCACCCTCGCCGCGCCACCGTCGTTGCTACCGCCACCGCCGCCCTCGCCGCCACCGCCCTCGCCGCCGCCACCCTCGCCGCCCCCGCCGTCGTTGCCACCGCCACCGCCGCCGCAACCCTCGCCACCGCAACCCTCGCCGCCGCCGCCCTCGCCACCGCCACCGTCGTTGCCACCGCCACCGCCGCCCTCGCCGCCACCGCCCTCGCCGCCGCCACCTTCGCCGCCGCCGCCCTCACTGCCACCACCCTCGCCGCCGCAACCCTCTTCGCCGCCGCCACCTTCGCCGCCGCCGCCCTCGCCGCCGCAACCCTCGCCGCCGCCGCCGCCTTCGCCACCGCCACCTTCGCCACCGCCACCTTCGCCGCCGCCGCCCTCGCCGCCGCCGCCCTCACCGCCGCCGCCCTCACTGCCACCACCCTCGCCGCCGCAACCCTCTTCGCCGCCGCCGCCCTCGCCGCCGCCGCCCTCACCGCCACCACCCTCGCCGCCGCAACCCTCTCCGCCGCCGCCGCCCTCGCCGCCGCCACCTTCGCCACCGCCGCCGTCGCCGCCGCCGCCCTCGCTTCCGCCGCCCTCGCCACCGCCGCCCTCGCCGCCGCCGCCCTCGCCGCCGCCGCCCTCGCCGCCGCCGCCCTCGTCCTCGCCACCCTCTCCGCCGCCGCCCTCGCCGCCGCCACCATCACCACCGCCGCCCTCGCCGCCGCCGCCTTCGCTCTCACCGCCGCCACCCCTACCGCTGCCCTTGCCCTCGCAGCCACCCCTACCGCTGCCACCACGACCACCACCGACGCCACCCTCTTCCTCGCCCTCGCCGCCCTCTTCGCCACCGCCCTCACTCCTGACACCATCATTCTCACCACTGCCACCGTCCTCGTCACCGCCGCCGCCTCCCTTGTCGCCACCCGACGCGCAACTACCTTTGCAGACACCACCCTCGCCGCCGCTACCATCCTCGCTGCCGCTACCATCGCCATCGCCACCAGCCTTGCTGTCGCCCGTGTCGTCAATGTCATTCGTGTTCTCTGCTGCTTTCTTCTCACACCCGTTCTCGCCGCCCTCGCCGCTCCCGCTGCCTCCGCCAACCCCGCTACTTCCGCCACCGCCCCGGATGATAGTGCAGTGGCCCTCGCCGCCGCCGCCCTCGCCGCCGCCGCCCTCGCCGCCGCCACCCTCGCCACCGCTTCCACTGAGCAAAACCGACCCCTTATCGCCACCACCCTCGCCGCGACCACCTTCGCCGCCACCGCCCTCACCGCTGCCACCATCACTGCCGCCACCCTCGCCGCCGGCGCCCTCGCCGCCGCCGAAATCGCCCCCAACCTTTCAACCACGGTCCTCCCCGCCACCGCCCCAAACGCCTTCCTTGCCGCTGCCCCCGGCGGCGTCGCCGGCGCGCAGTGAGTATACTCCCAGCATTGAGGTCCTACCACCTCCGCAACAACGCCTCACGGAGCGGGGCTGCGCTTGCATGGAGCGGTGGGGCGGCCCCGACTTCCGGTTCAGCTACGGTGGCGGCGAAATCTTGATGGAGGAGGTCACCACGTACTGCACGCCAGCCTGGCAGGGCGACGAGGCGTGGTGCATGGCCAGCGGGGCGAGCTCCACCCTGGCTGGCGTTGCGACGATGCTGCAGCAAGAGGGCCTAAACTGCGACTGGTGCGTGGTCGAGGACAGCAGCTGTGAGGGCGGCTCTTGGTGGGGATTCTGTACCCAAGCCGCTGTGATCGCCCAGGCCTCACCACCGCTAACCAACCCCGAGCACACGCAGAGCTCATCGCACGAGCACACGCACCATCATGGAGAAAGTCACGATCACGACGACCTTCTCGCACCGCCGCTGTCTCTCCCGGCGGCGGCGCCGCCTCGAGCGCCCAGACGGCATGAGCCTAGGCGGCGCAGCTGACATAGACAGCTGGGGACAAAAGAAAAGAATTTTACAAGGAGCTCTCCCTTGCTCGGACACTGGGCACGTGGGAGAAAAAAGAATACATCATGTGAAAAAGCAAAAGGGCGACTTGGACAAGGGGGGCCGGGGGGGGGGGGGGATTAGACGAAATCCGAAACGTCTGCAGGGGCTCGTCGCGGGGGATGAAAGAATTCTTAAAGTACAAGCCTCTCTCTCTCACAGACAGCACAACACTGACACGACAAGCAAGGGCGTGGGACTGGCGCACACTAACTAGCACACACATCGGCACACCACCGGAGCCGCCTAAGCGACTCCGTTAGGGAGTGTGGGAACAGCCGCGCTCGCGACTTCCGTGGCGGGGGCGGGGGGCGCTTGCAGGGGATGGAGCTAAAAAGGAAATCACGGAGCTTACGGAGAAGGTTCAGTCGGTGAGCCAGTCGCCCGGGCGGCGGGTGTGCGAAAGGTCTGTGGAGAACTGATTTTTACAAAAAGAAATTTCACGCCGACGTTGCGGAGAAGGTTCCCCGAGTCGGGTGAGAGTGTGTGAGCGCTGCGCGCACCAACCGCCCCCTCACGCATCGTGGCCCGCCCGCCACGAACCACGAAACCTCTCGATAGGCCTCTGCGGCGACGGTGCACTTCTGTGTATATGCTCGCGATCCTGTTGGCGCCTGTCTTCGTCTTGCCGGCCAGGATAGCCGGCTGCGGCGCGCAGGGGAGGGCGGGCGCAGTGCGTATGGAGCAAGGGGGGCTGGGCGACCTGTTCAAGCAGGTCTCACAAAACATGAAGCAGATGACCGACCAGCGAGTCGGCCGCGCATCGCACATTATGCTCCGTCCGTCGGATGACGCGGCCGCCGATCTGCTTAGAGAGTGGAAGGCGGAGATCGGCGACGACGAGGCCAAGTTCCAGGAGCGGGCTCGCGCGTCGAGCGAGTGCAGGAGCGCGCCACGCGGCGGCGACCTCGGCTTTGTGACGCGCGGCAAGCTCTCTCCGGAGTTTGACGAGGTCATCTTCGAGGAGGAGCCGGGCTTCGTGTATGGGCCTCTGCAGACGCAATTCGGCTACCATCTGATCTACCTGCACTCCTGCCGCGAGCCCAGCGGCACCGGCACCCTCAACGCGGTCCGCTCAAGGTGGCCTTCTCCCTGAGAGGTGTGAACGCACCCCCGGCTCGCCGTTCGCGCCTCTCCTTTGCTCACGTACCGCCACTGCCTCGTCCCGACTAGTTTGCAAGCCTGGGCGTCCCGAGAAGAGCGAGAGGCGTGCCTGTTTTTAGATAGAGGAACCGCGCGGCTGAGTCCAACCATGCAGCATGCGCAGCCCACAGTTGCAGACAGAGCAGGCCCACACCGGCGGTGCGTGTCAGGGGCGGCGACGCCGCCATCTACATCATGACTAGTTTTGCAAATACGGGTGGTGTGTGGAAATGTTGAATTTTGATGTTTTTTGTCTCCGTGTTGCTCCCAGCGCCCTCGCCCGCGCTCCCTGAGGCCACCTGCGCCTCTCGCCGCCCTCTCGCCGGCACGGCCCCCCCGCGAAGATTGGCTGGCGAGATTATGTGTGGTCTGTGGATCTCTCACAACGGACAGGGTCCAGAGACCAGACAGGGATCAGGGTCTCACATGGCGCAACCCCGTCAGACGATTCCGTCGTACGCGGCGCTGGCACGATCTCTCAACCGGACGTCTAGACACGTCACACCCCCGCCCCGCGTCCGCTGCTGCGTGCCCGCGCTCGCTGACCTCTGAGCTCTGTCGCCGTCTGCGCGCGTCTGGCTCTCCCCCCGCGGCGCGCGCGCGCGCACAAACGACGCACACGCATCCCGGCGCGGCACCAGGGCGCCGGTGTCTCGCGCACGACGCGACCGCGTGCATCTGAGAGCTCACGTGACACAATGAGGATTCCACATGTCTTGATGAGCGCATGCACACAGCATCCTATTTCCTAACTTGTAGCTGCGACGCCGGAGCGCGGATCCCGGGGTCCCACGCCCCGAGATATGCACGACGAAGCACTCTCACACCACCGCACGATGACACGAGAGACGAGTGGAAAGAATACACGGGACGCTGCGCACATCCTTTCGGCCTTGCGCGCGCGCCACACTGACCAGTCATTCGGCCCGCCACAAGGCTGCGTGGCTCCGCCAACTTCCGCTAGCGCTGGGGCTCGAAATGTCGGCTACGCCAGACGGGTCGGGACGATCGTCATCGCGCGGCTCTTCCCGCGCCGACCATCAAGGGAATTGGCGGCAGCTTGGTCAGGCTTATTTTGACGGGAAGGAAGCTGTAATTGGCAGCAACCTGGATGTCGTCAGCAGCAGCGTCGTAAGTGATCCCGCCGATGACGAGCGTGCAGCCCTCTTTCTGGAGCGCATCGTGCACGCAGTCCCCGGGTTTATTCAGCCCGGTAAGCTCGACTCGAAAAATGTTGCATTCTGGTCGGGTAGGGATGTTTCTGGAAACATCCCTGCCCGACCAAGCAGCCGCCGACAGCGTAGCGTCGACCTCGTCGGCACCGATCGGCGAGCTTTTCAAGAGAAGTTTCAAAGGTGCAGCGCTTTCGCGGCAAAAGCGTTGGTCTCATTCTCCGTGTACATGAGCCTCAGGTCTTGCGACGATTTGAGCGTGCTTCGTACCGTGTCGTTCCCATACACGTATGAGGACTTGAAGGCCCCGTACAGCTTGCTGTACCACTTGTCCTCGCCCGAGTTTGCTGTCGGCAGCTGCACCAACATGCCCAGTCGCCGTAGGATGATAGAAGGCCAGTGCAGCGAATCCTCCATGCGAAGGAAGAGCACCCTGAGGCGTCCGCGCACGGCCCATAAGTCGTGCGACGAATGGTTGAACAGAGGGAGCCACTCAATGCCCTCTCCGAGCACCTGAGGCAATGTGTCGATAATGCTCCGCGACGTAGATCGCTTCTCCCTTATCCGCAACCACGCCGTGAGCTGGGCCACCGTCGAGTTGCGCCCAAAGCCGAACCGTTCTAGGTTCTGGAAGAACGCAGATATTACTCGGGCAAACGGGTCGCGCACCAATATGAGCAACCAGAGATTCTCGCCCGGCAGCCCCACCTCCACAAATCTCTGGGCCACAGCTTGAGAGTGCGTCTTGCAGGCCCGAGGGACGACTTTGTACACGGCCGAGGTGGAACTGCCTTCGCTCCAGTAGTAGTTCACGAATTCCCCGTCCGGAGTAAGACTTTCCAGGTACTCAATGCGAGGATGACTACCACGACCGACCAGTGGGCCTAACGCAATCTCGAGGGAGGAGCTTCCGGTCTTGCCAAGGGTGTAGAGCAAGAGGCGGTCCGTGGATGAGTTCCAAGCCGGGACCGGAGATCCGAAAGCTAGCGTGCTCACCAGCACCGCAGCCACCAGCGAGCCGAACGGCATTATTTGAGCGGAGCTGCGCTGGATGGAAGCACGCGCAAAGACTCGTTGTTTTGGGTCCGAAAACTCCTGCAGCGTCATCGTCGGTGCCTCTCCTAGGAGTGCGCGTGTCCGCTCCTCCCTAAGCGCCCTCTCGTCCTCCTCCTCCTCCTCCTCCTCCTCCTCCTCCTCCTCCTGTGCCGCCACGTGCAAGAATTTTACAAGAAACCTCACTCGCGCTGGGCACGGGACTGGCGCGCACTGGCACTAACAATGCGCAAAGAATTTCGAAGGCCGACACCGGCCCTGGCTCGTAGGGGTGCGGTGCGTATCTCACATTTACTTGATAAACCAGCCGATCCAACAATCCTTTCACACCGGACGGTAGAGCCGAATTTGACGGCCAGAAAGCTCACCAGCCTCGCAACACATGCCATACCCATCCCTGACAAGCGTGGTTTGACTCACAGAAGCCGCAGGCCACGTGGAGACATAGCTACGTGACCACGCAAAACACGCCCGGAGACTGCTCACATCCCGATATCCCGGGCTCCAACAATGGTCCCACTATCGGGCCTATCGCGGTCCGACGCCGATCTACTTGGCTGTCCCCAGCCCACAGGTACCGGGTGCACCCAGCCTGGCCGCAGGAGGGCGGACCCGGGCCGAACCTCCCACTCAGAGGTCCATTGAAGTCGTCCGCGGCGCCGTCCCGAAGCAGCAGCCGCGGGAGCGGGAGCGGGGAAGCTCGTACTGAGTGGTATCGCTCCGACGGCCGACGAGGCCGCTGCGGCCGCTGTGCTGCGCGCGGAGCTGGCGGAGAATCCTGCGGTCGACAGCAGCCTCTCGGAGGCGGAGCGTTTTGCGGTGCGCATGTCCGAGATTGACCACCTCGATCGCAAGCTCAAGGTGCTCTCCCTGATGGCGCTCTTCCAACAGCTAGCTCTGGCCGTCCGCGCGAACGTGGACAGCTTGCGGACCGCGGCGGAGCAGGTCCTCCAGTCACCAATGCTACGCCGGTGCCTTCAACTCTGCCTACAGGTCGGGAACGTCCTCAATGGAGGCACAGCTCGCGGCAATGCGCGCGGCTTCCGCCTCGACGTCCTCCCGTCGCTCTCTGCCGTCAAGTCCTCCGTCGATCCGCAGTATTCACTGATGAACTTCGTCGCGGAGCTCATGCAACGCAAGGCCTCGGAGGCACTGCCCGATGGCAAGGGTGGCAACGCCATTGACCTGCTATCGACGGAGCTCTCTGGGACCGCCATCTTTCACACCGACACGGGCAGTGGCGGTGCGAAGGATTGGATCAGATCGATCGATGACCAGATTGCGCACATCAAGGCCACGCTCGTCCTGGCAAAGGCCGAGCTGGCCCTGCTCCCGCCGTGCCCGGCGGCGCCAGCCTTGGCGAAGGGCTACCCTCAGTTGCGTGCCTATGACCAGAGCCGCCTCCTCCTTTCGGTAGCCACAGACGAGGTGGCCTCCGTGTGGTGGGTGCTCTTGCCCGGCTGGAGACAGGAGCCCAACTTCCACTCATGGGGCAAGAAGCAGCGCGCCCCGAGGGCGGAGCAGGTGAAGCGTGGGGTGGGAGCCGACGGACAGCCAGCCCTGGCGGCTGGCTGCCTGGTGTCAGAGGCGGCTGGGCAGGAGCACCACGTGCTCATCGCCATTCGGCGGCCTATCGCGACGTCCTTCACCGTGTACGCGGTTGTCGAGGACTCCTTTGGGTGGGAGACGGCTGAAAGTGGCCCGGCTGCGAGCGCCCCACCGAGGCTCCCCGGCGCGGGGCCGGAGCTGAGCGAGCCGTGGCGGGTGGCGGCAGAGGCGCGCATATCGGGCAGACGCGCCGCGACCGATCTCGCGAGCTCGCCCGCTCGGTCTCCTGCCGCGCCTGCTGCTGTCGAGGAAGCGTGCGCGCAGGCGAGCCCTGCGAGCGTGCGCAGCACAAACTCGACCCGCTCCTCGCAACTCAGCTGCCCCACCTCGCCGCACGTCACCGAGATGATCAGCGCGACGAGCAGCCGTCTCCCGACGCCGTGGAGTCTTGCCCTGGCGCGCTCAGCTGCGTGAGACGCTCCACGCCTGGGGCAGTTCGGCTGGGCGACGCGTCCGTCGTGCGGCGATCGGCGGCGAACGCTGGCGACGTAGTAGCGCTGCTGAGGAGACTCGATCTTCTCGGACTGCTCCGCACGCCCCTTCTGCAGCCGCTCGATAGCAAGCTGGCCGGGTCCACGGCCGCCTATTCGCTCAACATACGTGCGTGGCGGGTGCTGCGAGCGAGCGTCGGGAATCTGCCCCGCGCTTGGCGGGAAGTGGAGCGGCAGTCGGTAGAGCAGCCGCATGCGCCTGGCACAGGTATCACCAAAGGCCATATCGACGGTCCATGCGCAGCAAGACACCGACTGTGCCCAACAGGGCACACATTCGACCCTGCAAAGCTCTTGGTCCCGACATAGACGAAGGCCGACTCGCTGCGGAGGTCTCCAGAATGGGCCAGCAAGCAGCGAGCGGCCGAGCTGTTCACTCCCTCAGTGCAAGCCTCTGCGTCCCGCAGCATTGCCTTGATGAGGTCATCTGGCATCCGGTAGGTGCCGTGGAAGATTGCGCACTTGCACAGCGGCAACGCAGATGCCGTGCCGTGCACCGCCATCCTGTCTGTGAAAGGACCTCTCGAGGACAGCGTCAAGCCGGAACTTAGCGCGGCTTTCAGTCGCACGCTGCGGTGCCTTGATGGCAACAAGTTCACGCCGAAATTTTTCGTGCCGGTCCCGGTCAGCGCGAGCGTGGTACAGGTAAGTGGCGGTGATATTCGTGCAATCCCCCCCCCCTAAACACCAACACATAATCTCCCAGATTGTCTCTGCAGACGGGCGAGAGCGGCGGCGACGGCGACAAAATCCTTCCTCAAGTTTTCCGAGGGTCGCATGAGGTGTTGCTACTATTTTGCAAACAACTCTAACACTCACACGTCATTTGGGGCCTGGAGCCCTGTTCACGCGCGCGCGAGACGTGCAGACAGGGTTGCCAGGTGATGCTAAAAATACACACACTATTTTGGGACCAGATGAAGCCTAAAAATGGCTACAAATACAGCCACACCAGACTCCAGCGGCAGCTCAGGAGGCATCTCCTCGCGCGTGTGCCGCGGCGACTTACGAAGTGGCTCCTCAGCTTCCGGCATTTCCACCTCGATCTCATCGCCGCCTCGGCAGCCCTGAGGCACGCAGATGTTGGGGGGGGGGGGGGGTCCCCCCCGGGGGGAGGGGGGGGTGCGGAAACGAATCGCTCTCCCGCGCCCCAGGGCCGACTGCAGCATGACCATTTCGAGCGTGCGCGTCGCGGCGGACCGGCTCCGCGCGGTCGGTGCCCGGCCCACGCCCGTGCTCCGCTCTGACTGGGTCGATGCCACCGCTGGCTGTGCCTGCTATCTCAAGGCCGAGCACCTGCAGCGCACCGGCTCGTTCAAGTACCGCGGTGCGACTAACGCCGTCGCTGGCCTCGACGCCGCCTCCGCCGCCCTCGGCGTCGTGTGCCATTCCTCAGGCAACCACGGCGCGGCTCTCGCCGCCGCGGCCGCCGAGCGAGGCGCGAACGAGGTCGTGCCCCTGCCACGCTTCCCGGCACAGACCCAGACGTTGCGCTGCAGGCGTGCCGTGCTGCGTGGTGGTGCCGCGCACGACGCCCGGGGCCAAGATCGATAACATGCGGCGGTACGGCGCGCGCGTGGTGCTGTGCGAACCCACTCAGAGCGCAAGGAGTGAGACGGCAGCCGCAGAGGCGGCAGCGATGGGCGGCGCTGCATTTGTGCACCCATACGACGACGCGGCAGTGCTGGCGGGCCAAGGCACCATCGGGCTCGAGCTGGCGGAGGAGCTGCCACAGCTGGACGCGGTGCTGGTGCCCGTCTCAGGCGGCGGCATGGTGGGCGGCATCGCGGTTGCCCTGCACGCCCTCCGGCCGGGCGTCCGTGTCATTGCGGTCGAGCCAAAGGGGAAGGGACTCGGCCGCTGCCTCGCTCTCAGCCAGCGTGTCCTCGACCCAGAGGCGGCGAACGGCGCGCTCGACACGATCGCCGATGCCATCCGCACTAAGTGCCTCGGCCCCACGCCGTGGGCGGCCGCCTCACAGCTGCTCGACCCGGCGGTGTTGAGCGTGGATGACGATCAGATCCGCGCTGCCATGCGCATCGCGTTGCTCGAGCTCAAGCAGGTACCAAAGCTCGGCGAACCCTCGGCGAACTCGGCGAACCCTCGGCCATGCCTGGATTCGACGCGCGTCCTCGCACCGCCCAGGTCGTCGAGCCTGCGGGCGCACTGACGCTCGCCGCCCTCCTCTCGCCCGCCTTTAAGCAACTGCGGGAGGCGTGCGCTGCACATGCACGTGCACAACATGTGCATGTGCATGCACATGTGCATGCACATGCACATGCACATGCACATGTCCCGCGCGGCGGCGAGGGGCGCCTCTCCTCACATGCCGTCCTTGTGCATAGGAGCACCAGCTCCGGCACGTCGCCGCCATCGTGTGTGGCGGCAACATCGACCTGGAGACGCTGTTCCTCCACGTCCGCACGGGCCCGTGAATGAACGATTCGCATATCTAGATGACGTCCGGTTCGCCGTCTCGGTCGCTGGCAGCACACAGAGTAGAAACTGGAGTCCTTCTAATTCTTTTTTCCACGTCGCGATCGTGCAGGGGGCTGGCAGGGCGGGGACACAAACTCACTCCTGCGGTAGCGGGATCTCGATCTGTGCACTCCCTGGGACCCACTGAGTGCACAGAACGCGCGAGCGGTGCGTCCCGGCAGCCCGCGCTGGCTGCAGAGCTGCCACAAACTCGGACACGCTTTTGGGGACATTTATCATTTTCAACACAGCTGTCAAACGTTAAGAAGAGCTGAACAGTGTTTTGCTAGAGTGTTAACAGTAACAACAGAAACAACAGTGGGGCTCCCCAACAACAGTAGCTAACGTTAGGCCGGCTGAACAACAATAAGGAAGGCCTGGCAGTGACCCACGACGATCTCCACGGCGTCCAGTGCGGGTAATACCCGAAAATACCCGGGAAAACCCAGGTATTTTCGGGTTCTATCCGGGTTTCTGCTTGCTGACCGCTGAACAACAGTCACAACAGTCACAACAGTAACAAACAGTAACAGCATGGGCTGGGGTGAACACTTGAACAACGTTAAGGATTTCAGCCAACACTAGCTTAACTGTTAGGCCCAAAGTTAATATGTTAAACAGCTCGCCAACCCTTCTGCTTCTCCCACAAGACCGGCCACGGCTACGTCAAGGCGCATCGCGGTTTCTACCACGACGCGATCTTTGTCAAGCGCAACAACTTCAACCTGCTGCTCCACGAGACGTTCGGCGGCGGCTTCTCGCCCACCGCCGTTCTCAAGCTGCGCCGCCTCGCGCGCAAGGTCGCGCGGCAGCGTCGATCGCACGGCCTACTCGCCCAAGTACTCGCTCTCTTTTATGTCCCACCATGCAGAGCGCATCTCTCTCTCTGTTGTGCGAGGCGTGAACCGCGCCATTCGCTCTCACCTGGCAACCCTGTCTGCACGTCTCGCGCGCGCGTGAACAGGGCTTTCCAACAACCTTTAAGTGCCACAGGGCTCCAGGCCCCAAATGATGTGTGAGTGTTAGAGTTGTTTGGTATTGCGGACAAAAATCTCTCTCGGAAGGTCCCGTCCGAGTAAAAAGAAAGAAAATCGAGGTACCAAGGGAGGGATGGGAGGACGGCACGCCGCCACCACACAGGGATTTTAAGGAGAGGAGTGTGGTGCTAGCCATCGCTCGCCCCTTGGGCGAGGTCTGCTCCGTCCGAGGAACACAAATTCTTTTCTTCGCACGACACTAGGCACGGGACTGGCGCGCACTGGCACTAAGAGGGAGGTCCTTTGCAGAAAAAAATCGTGCTGGCTGCATTCCCCCATTTCTCTTCGATCGATCACGTTTTGCCGCTCCTGCCTGAGGAGCTCACGTTTGTTTGTATTGAGGGCCTAGTCCGTAAAGCACCGCCGCACACGGAATTCCGCACACGACGAGGACGTCGCCGATCGATCGTCACCCGCTCCGCCCGCTCCGCCGCTCCTCCCTCCATAGACCATACATCACACATCCCCCCTCCTTCAGACGCTTCAGACTGCGCGACGCCCCCCCCCCCCGCCCC